CTGAATGTTTAACAGTAGCTGAGGTCTTGAAGGGAAGTGTAATATTTGGTCAGGTGGTCAGTGCAATGCAAGGTCAGGTCTCAGGGTTAGCACGAGCCACTTTAGTCCAAATAGGCCCCCTTAGCACGAGCGCTTTCACCAGCTTGAACTCTAAGCCTTTTATTGTGATGAAGCCTACCTCAGACACCTTAGCACACACACACTTTAAGTATCCAGGTTTACAGCGCACCAGCACTTTAACTTATTGGAAATGTAGGGTTTAACTAGTGTTTGGGTTTTTTTGAATTAATGATTTGTTTGTGATTGCTAATTTGATTTGTTGTGTTTTAATTAGGGTTGGGGTAAATCCTGCATTTATGACGGTTGAGTGGTGTGTAATTGTTTCAAGAAGGGAACAAGAAAATGAAATAGTTTTTTTTTTAAATGTTTAGAAGATTAAATAAAGATGTGTAACTTTTATACCACATTGCCCTTGTCCTTTTTAATGCCAGAACGGATTCTGTGAGTAATAAGGGTGCTCGGTTGCAACATTACACATGTAATAACTGAGAGTTGTACTTTTGTCTATTGCTTTTTCAACTATAAGTCACACCTTATATTAGAGCCCGACCGATATATCGGTTGGTCGATATTATTGGCTGATATGGCCATCGGCCGATATGCTTGCTGATAGGGGTCGATATTTCACGTGGGCATGTTATACGTCGTTATAAAGCTTAGACTCTCTACATTCTGTTCATTTAATCCAATTTACAGACAGATAAATGTCCTAATATGTGGCTCCACATCAGTATTTATCTGCGGAGTCATTTGTCTGTGTCTGTGTCCGTACTGTCCCTGAACACACCCCCAGAGTCCCGTCACTTCACTCACGTGTGTTTGTTTACACCCGCAGACACAGATCCATGTGCACAACACTGAGATTATATTCTTTTTACGGACAATCGGTTTGAGTCTGGATTAAATGGACATTTATTAGTGCAGACTTGTAATGTGAGGAGAAGGCTGTGTGAGCGGTGAGTGTTGGAAATATGTCGAGTTTGAAGCTAGTTTTGGTTCGTTCTGATAGGTTAGCGATTAGCTGCTGTAGCTCCCACACATAAACAGGCTGTTTTCTATTGGTCTATTGTAAAGTGACTATATTGGCCGTATATTTGTTACTGGACCTGCATTGATATTTTCATGAGCTGTGAATAGACGTGTGAATGAAATTTGCACATATAATTAATTACCGCGGCGCGCAGCATTTACGGCTAAAGGCTAATAGCGATTGTTTATTTACTAGCTAGGCTAGTAGTGACGGGTACAACGAACGAAGCGCTCTTAGAGCCAGCTCTTTGAAGCGAACGACAGGAGCCTGCTCCTTATTGGGATTGGGAACCGTGTTTTCTCTTTCTCTCACCCTCTCGCTTTCTCTCACTTTTTTTCTCTTCACGTCGCGTGCAGACTCATGGTAGTTTGACAGCAGCAGCGGCTAAAAACGAAACTTTAAAAAATATGCGTGTGCATAGGATGAAAAAAAAAACGTGCATATATATATTCAGCATAAAATAAATAAACCAGGACTAATCTCGGGGTCGAGAGACGGAAAGAGAGATAGAGAACGAGTCCCAACACTCAGTCCTGGTTCAGTTCTGGTTTAGTCCTGTTTTACACATGGTTTACATCTGTTTTAGTCCTGGTTTAGTCCTTTTTCAGTCCTGGTTCAGTCCTGGTTCAGTCCTGGTTCAGTCCTGCTTTAAACCTGCCTTAGACCTGCTTTAGTCCTATGACATATCATGTAAAGAGGCAGAATAACAATATACGTTGCCTAAATAAACCCAGTTTAAAATCCACTAGAGCCAAACCTAAGTTTTTTTTTTAATAATTAAAGATTTACAGTGAATTTTTACATCACTAAATATATCGGCGATTATATCGGCTATCAGCAGCTCCAACTTCCATTATATCGGTATCATATCGGTCACAACAAAATCCATATCGATCGGACTCTACCTTATATGTTAAAATTTTCCCACTGACAGCCGCAACAGAGCACTCTCGGGTTGTGTACTCCTGTACCACTGTCACTTTGCACTCTACTGCGCATGTCGACTGCAGAAGAAAGACAAAGAGCCGCTGTCCTGTCTGGTATCATGTCAGTCGATCGCACCATTACTTCTGTATCACTGACAATTTAAAATTTAAACAAACATAAAGACAACTAAAACCTCCTGTCGGGATTCAGAAAGACCAGAATAATTCTAACTGGAACTGATGCTGAGTCTGGCAAGAGCTATGCAGGAAATAATGCACCGCTCCGTTTACCTCTGGAGATCTCGGAGTTGCTCAGAAGTGACACAAAGGATGAAGAATTCAATGGATTTAGTGAAATGGAGAGTTTGGTAAACTTGTTAAGTTATATCATTTATGCTATAGTTATCTGAATAACTGTTCATATGTTAACAGCCTATTGTTCTCTATTCTATTTTTATTACTATAATTTGCCTTTCAAGATGAAATGTCCGTTCCTGGTCTCTGATTTTATCAAGTAAATTTCCCCCTAAAAGTGCGACTTATAGTACGGTGCAACTTACGTATATATCCTATGTGTTTTCTTCTTCATTACACATTTTTTGGCTGGTGCCACTTATACTCCGGAGCGACTTACAGTCCAAAAAATACGGTAGTGTTTTACTTATGATCTGTTATTGTAAAGCTGTTTCAGAATCTTATATAAGAATTTGATTTAATAGGATAGGCAGTATATAAATTGTTACGGCCTATTCTTTTTTTTTTTTTTTGGTTTAAAATAAAAGTGTGTATATGCTGTAAATTATGTAGATCATAGAAAAATATTAACCAAAAATGTCACTTCAAGACCAGTTTAGTGTTTTTGATTGCGTTGTTATAGTTAACAAACAACCATGTTACTACTGGTACTTAAGATTTCCATAGAAAAGTTGCACCTTTCATCTCTAACCCTCTAACTCTTGAGCCACAAGACTGCATAATAGTTAGAGACTGAGAAAATATGGTGGTTGAAGCAAAGTTTAGTTACCCACAATAAATAAATAAACTTTCTAAATAAACTTTCACAGCAAGATTTCTATTCCCAAAGTAAATGCAAAAAACTTTCCTGCAGTGGAAAATGGGCTATAGATGAAAAAAATGGGCCCAGACCTGCACTCAAGGCACTTTATTTAGCTATATGAAAATGCATAAATGTATAGTAATGCTTTACCCTATAGTTGAAATAAAAACTAAATAAAAAATCTACCCATTGTGGCACAATACCTTAATACTAAAAGAAAATTGTGGACTTAATAATGATTTTCATCTGTTAAAGATTTTCAGTAAGAGCCTTTCACCTGTACAAAGCCTTAGCCATGACAGAATTCATTTAAATTCACACTGAGTGGCACCCATTCTCACATATGAAGCCCTAAAAGGTGTTATCGTGTACATTAGTCATTGAAGATAAAGGACCAGGGCAGAATAATGGCCTTAAAATGAGAATGTTCAAACCTCTTAGAACATATTATTCAGTATGTCTTCCTATTTACAATTTGATGGAGCGTAAACTTTCTCTACTTGCTTACAATATGTCTGAAAATGTACCCATTAACCTCAGTTGGCAGTGCCTTCAAAGGTAATGACTACAATGCTGTGGGCGTATTTCCAGCTCTCCAAGACAAAATGTAATACAAAGTGTATGTCTTTTGGAAAATTACAAGTGAAAATAAATGGGCTGAAATGGATAGGGTCCTCTGGGGATCACAACAGCAGCCAACAGAAAGAAGAGTGAGTCACTAAACTGCACAGTATATTATGGAGCACAGTTAGATTCTCGCCATTTGCACCAGCTCAGAGAGATTGAGAATTTCAGTCATGTTTAACATCCATCACAGAAAAAAAAAAAATAGCTGCATAAAGGTGTACTCTGGTATAAGAAAAACAGATGGGCGGGGCTAGTGCAAAAATACTCATCTTATTGTCAAGGTTGTGCCAGGGACAAGATGATTTTGACACAGGCAATTGAAGGCAGTCAGAACTGTTAAACAAATATCTGCACTTAACCAAACTAGAATTTTAATTATAAAATATAAATATATTGTTACACTAACTGTATTTTGTTCAAAAGAGATGTAAATGCACACAATAAATATTTATATACCATAATGTTAATGCAAATTATTAATGAATCAGTCAATATGAATTTGAGGATTACTTCAAAATCAGCTCCTCCAAATCCAAGGCCATGGTTCTCAACAGGAAAAAGGTCGCTTGCTCTTGGTGGAGAGTTCCTTACTCAAGTAGAGTTCAAGTATCTCAGGGTCTTGTTCATGAGTCAGTGTAGGATGGAGCGTGAGATTGACAGGTGGATCAGTGCAAAGCTCTCGATTTACCACTCAGTCTAAGTTCCTGCCCTCACCTATGGTCATGAGCGTTGGCTAATGACTGAAAGAACAAAATCGCGAATGGCTGGGCGTTCCCTTAGAGATAGGATGAGGAGCTCAGTCACACGGGAGGAGCTCGGAGTAGAGCCGCTGTTCCTGGCCTGGAAACACCTTGTAATCTCCCTGGAAGAGCTGGAGGAAATCTGTGTGGAGAAGGAAGTCTGGGCCTCTCTGCTCAGACTGCTGCTCCCGTGACCCCGCCCAGACAAAGTGGAAGAAAATGGATGGATGGATTATTTCAATTTAAATTATTCCTCTTTGCCCTAACATGTTTGTAAATGATAATGAGCGATCAGTATGACGTGAATATTGATTTACTTAAAGATTTATTACATCTTCATTTTAGTGAGTACCTAACTTGAAAAAACATGGTGATTGTAATTGTGGCTCTCATTCTGTCCTGTGAGAGAGAACCTCATGTGAAAAATGGATGAAATCAGTGCTGCTGCCACATCAAAGATAGATGAACAGTGTGTGTCCTTGACTATATACAGCCAGCAGTGGTCCCATTGTGAGTGGTTCAACCTCTCAGTTTAAAATAGTGAGGAGGAGTTTACTTACACACTGCGTTTTTGTGACTGGAGTCTTTGCTTGGCATCATCTTCACCCCTCTGGACTTCAGCTCGATCGCCTTTTTAACTGCAAAATATAAGTCATTCATTTAAATACATGTAGGTCACTTCAGTCTAGTTTATTACCCAAATGTTACGCCACCAAAAAGTATTTTCTTTCCTAATGCAATCATTCTTCCAAAAAGGATAAGCTTATGTGTGGAAAAGTTGAGCCTGGATTAAAAGAAATATGAAAGAGTGGAGATAAAAAAGGTTGGAAAGCAAAGGAAAGGAGGAGCTTTATCCTGTTAGCAGCCTTCAGGGGCAGTGCACAGATCTGTACTACAACCACATTATATTCCACAGAGACACAAACTTGGCATAACGTGTACAAACATGAGTTTCAAAAACGCGTTTACGCAATATTCAGCAGAGAGTGAAAACACAAAGGAGGCATTAAAGGCATGAAACTGAAAAAGTCAAGGAGAACATTGCAAAGGTGATTGGGAAGCACAAAATCTTGTAATATGTTAAATGTGAGTTGTTTTATTCTTGATACGATACGCACAATACTGCACAATATTTTCAAATACGTGAAGAATCACTTCTCTCTACCAAAACTACCAAAAGATGGCTGGTGGTTTGAATGCTGCAATCCCATTGTTTATTGTTGTCACCCACACTGCCTCCAGTCCAGGCTGAGGTGTATCAGTGCAACAGTGCAATGATATGTGGTGGTGGTCAAACTTGGAGAGGACGTTGCCATATTAAGTCAACCGCATATCCATCAGTCTGCCCCAACCCACAAATGGCCATACTGGTTTGTCAAATCCTGATCCTGTCAGATCTCAGAAGCTAAGCAAGGCTGGGCCTGGTTAGTACTTGGATGGGAGACCAGTGGGAAAAATCAGGTCACAAAAACTGCTGTTGTGTCCATGTTGTGTACCCACATTGCCTTAGTATGAAAGTGTTGTGTGTGTGTGTGTGTGTGTGAGTGATGGTGGTGGTCGGAGGGACTGTTGGCACTGATTGGCATGGCACCTGTGCTTCAGTCAGTCTGCCCCAGGACAGCTGTGGCTACAATAGTAGTTTACCACCACCAGGTATGAGTGAATTAATAATGCTCTGTAAAATGTCTTTGTGACAAATGTCTGTGAAAAGCGCTATATAAATAAAAAACTTACTTGCTAACTTAAATAATATGCTGTGTGATGTTGTTCATTTATGTTACATAATGGCATTTTCTAATTCTAATCTGTATTTACGTGTCAAATATTGAGATCAGGTTAAAAAAAACTCAATTAAGAAATCAAAACATCTCTGTCTTTTTATATTTGGCCACAACACATTTTCAATAAAGACAACATGATATACAACTTGAATGTAATCAGAATACCTTGATACTGTGCACTGAATCCTTTTCTTCTGTGGTTGCTGTCTGATGTGAAGTGTATCCGCAGCCAGTTCTTACTGGAGATCACTGGTGATGGTAATGTTGTGCCAGTCAGCCTGTAAACAACAACAAAAGATTCTGTTAACAACACATATCATTGAATCAGAAGAAAAAGTGCTGCATATACCTTCATTTAATGAGACATACAATCCCCAGAGAGATAGTTTGAGAACATGCTGCAGCTGTGTGCCTATATGAAACTCCATATGTCGCTGGTGACTGCTTTATGATGCTAATTGACAATGAACAACATGAGCCTTGAGATGCATTGCTTTACAACGCTGTCATAAAAATGCATATTCCAGATTGGTACAAGCCTGAACAATGTTTTTATCGTCGCTTAGCTGCGTTATTAGAACTGTAACTATCCCTTGTAGCCATAAACTTAAAGAAAACTTATAATTAAGAGACAACATTTAGTTTGGTCCAATCATGCCTAAAACTACTAGAACTAGAAAAATATGTAATTACTCTTCTCTGGCTTGTTCATAATTACGGTAAAATGTTTCGAAGCACAACTCTTGGCGGTGAACCATATGTTGTGTGATGTCATTTTGCATTGTCCTCCGAGGTACAATGGCTGGCTGCAGTTTAACAGAGTTGTAGCAGAGAGTTTGTTCCAGTGAGTCAGGGTGGTGGGCGTGGGAATTAAATGAGTAATAATGATCGCAACTGGCCAGAGCATTCCGGGTTTTCCAGAGGTGGAGGAAAAGTCGATAGTCAACAAAAAGTCAAGACTGAATTGAAGTGTTGGCTTTACAATGTTAAGCAGTTAGATAAGTAATTGACAAATTGTTAAGGATGGGACAAGATTTACTTTTTTTTTTAAAGTAAGATTTGCTAAATTACGCCTCCTGAAAAGCTGTAATTCCAAAAAGCAGTGCCACAATGGCAATAAAAACATGAAATCAAATAAATGAGAACATGTGAGACTAAAACTGCAAACTGAACCACACAATTTATTTATTAGAAATGAAGCCAAAATCTCATCTTGTCTTGCTCATGTGGACCAATGTTTTAGTGTGAATGTTGTCTTGTCACATGTCTAAATGATGGTACCAAAAACAGGCCTCAAAGTTTCTTCATTACCTTCTTCCACTGTGGTCTCTTTTATAATTCTGTGTTAAGCTTCAACTAATGCCAGACAGAAGTAAAAGGGCACCTAAAATATCATCCGAAACAAACCCTATTTATGAATGTGCCATCTAAGGTAAATCTTACATCAGCTTCTTGTTTCCAATAGCAACAGTGGAAGATTTTTAAAAATGGAAATGACTTAAGAGAGTACCGCCTGGGAGCTAATGTTCCAGCCTCCCCTAGAGACACAGAGGCCACAGGAAATACACACAAACAGCACAGTGAGCTGATGAGAGGAGGTCTGACCAGTGCTGATGGCTTTTCAAATCATCAAACATTATTACAGGAAAATGTGAAAATATTCCTCTGACAGACCCTAATTGTTTAAAGGTCCTATATTACACAAAATATGACTCTTTTGAGCTTTAAGCCATGTCAAAATGTTGTTACCTCACCAAAAACATACCTGGAGTTGTTTCACTGGATGTTTTAATAATCCATTATTAGTCTGTTTATATCAGCAAAGCTCAAAATGCTCTGTTTCACCTTCATGATCATGAAACAGTAGTTTTCAAGTTAACAGAAACCTTTTATTCTGTGAGACTGGCAATTCCAGGACATCATCAATCATCCAAATGATTCTAGTGATAGTGCATGGAGTTTAAAAACACAGTGGAGGACTTCCTGTATTACCACATGACATGCCATGCCACGTATGTTTTTGGCCAAGAAACAACATTATAACATAGATCAGAAAAGACTGTAATATGGACCCTTTAAGATAAGAAGTTATTTACATTTACAGTACACAGATAAATGTGAACACTGCAAAATAATTGAATGTATTAATTCATGTATTGATTGATTGGACAAATTTGCTATTTAAACTAATTCCCACATAGAATTATTAGCATAATTTACCATTTTGGAATGTCTTGAGATTTCTGCTCCAAAAAAGAAAGTAATTTAAAAGACCAGACAGCGGCACAGACAATAATATATATATATATATATATATATATATATATATATATATATATATATATATATATATATATATATATATATATATATATATATATATATATATATATATATATATATATATATATATATATATATATATTTTTTTTTTATGATGTGATTTGGTGTTTATTTGGTGGTGCGCTGTTGAATCTTTTCAACCAAAAATGAGTGGTGCTACTCAAAGAACGTTAAAAAACAGTATTAATTAAGTATTAATTAGCCTCTATGGAGCAATCCCAAAGCATACACAAAAACTATGCCATTCAGGACCTGAACATTATGGGACCATCTTATTGTTAACATTCTCATACCAATGTTATAACTTTGCCATAATTAACTTTGGCAAAATATTAGTTTCAAGTACCCATATAAACTAGCAGTCATTTTAAACCTCTACTTATTAATTCATTTACAGTCTCAGAAGGACCAAAAACCATTCTGCCCAGTAAGCCTTAATTAAAAAGAGTGGATGGGAATATGAAGGGGAAATTAAAAAAGTTATGATAATTTTTGATAGCAGGTCTCCAAAGACAATTTGTGTGAAAATGATTATCTAGTCATACTGGGTCTATGGTAGGAATGTTTACAACAGACAGTGTTTTAGTCTGCAATTTTAGTCAATTTCCTCTTCTTAATGCACTTTTATCATTGTAAACCTGGGACATACTGTATATTACCCAAAGGTTTTAACTCAAATTGAATATAATTAGAATCTACAAGAATTTAAGGCCAATTATGGAAATAGCACTACTATATACTGTGTGTTTTAAGAAGACAGCTAATTACTAATATAAAAATTCCCATGGCCTTGAAAAACAAGGAAAAAAACATAGATGGTTAGAAAGGGACAAAAGAAATCAAATGTAGTGGTGAAGTTATAAAACTCTTCTTGTGCATTATTCATGTGCACTGACCCACTGGAAAGAGGAAGACAAGAGGTTACTAGGCTAAGATGTATAAGAAAATAAGAGCAAGGCAGGGGGTAGAGTTGTCTGAAAATGGTGAATGGTGTTTTGGACAATATATTTATAGATCTATTTTGAAAGAACCAAAGTGACCTGTGACTTACCCTAGTTGTTGTTGACCATTAATATTTTGCAACTCCTAGAAGATTGGTATATGTAAAAGCTGACTGCAATGTTGTTTAAAGGTTGTATGGAGGATTTTTTTTTTTAGTTTCAAATTGTCAGTGAAAGATTAAAACACCGTTACAGAGACGCAGCAGCTTTGTAATTATGATGACCAAAAAAGAAAAGAACAAAAATCTATCAACTGTGGACGTGTTGAGGCCAGATAAACATCAGCCAATAGAAAACGAGGCTCCCTCATTTTCTATTGGCTGTTAGGTTGTCAATCAAACTCCCTAGTGTAACTGACTCGCATTTCACACAAAGTTTGTTGCGACAGCGGACGAGAATCTACGACCGGTTCGCCGCAAAAGAAAGTCCGTTTTTGAGGTCGCTGAAAGAAGAAGAGAAGAGGAAAAGGAGCAAAGCCAAACTGTGGTGATTCTTGGAGATCTCGTCCAGCGATGGCGCGACCGAAGCAGACGAAGCGTCTAAAAACTGACGCGTCGGTCACTGAATTACTTCTAGACAGGAAACTTCAACAGTAATTCTGAATGCGCACAAGGACTGTCGCTGTATTTCTCTTCCCTTAAAAAAATCCTCTATACAACCTTTAAGGTATCTAAGAACATTTTCATTTCAAATACTGCAAGCTTTGAGTCCATACACAAATAGGTACAATAGGTTGAGTTCACACTTAGCAATTAGCTGTTTATAATGAAATATTATACATTTGAAAAGTCCTCAAAATGTCAACAATAACAAGAAGCTGAAAACCATGAAAACATCTCTATTCACTGTTTTGGAGGCAATATCCAAACAAATGTTGAACCTTATCATTCGTTTTTAGAGATTAGCTCCACAATGAATAAATCCTTTCAACCAACATCAATCAAAACAATGGGTTGAAAGTGCACTTTGTAAAGCTATTTTGGAAAAAAAAAAAAGATTTTAATTTCTACCACAGAATTCTGATCTGCACCTCCAGCTCAGTTTTAAATAATAGGCATATGTTGGCTACAAAATGGTTAAATCAAATGCAAAAATGAAATAAAATGATATATAAACAAGTCTTTTCAATAGCCTAGTTATCTCAAGAGATCAAAAGTTACTGTGTGTAGCCAGAAGAAATATAGTGAAAAGATAACTAAGTGGATGGAGGAAAACCAGGTGCCAGAGCCAGTGCCCTCAGGTCGCAGCCGGTCGGTGCAAGAGGAGAGAGATCTGGAGAGAGGGACAAAGAGAGGGAGTGACAGAGAGAGAGAGAGAAAGAGAGAGGGAGACAAAGAGAGAAGAGACCCGTGGAGAGAGAGGCACACAGCACTGGTTTAATGAGGTGGGGGATTACAACACCAGGCCACCACCAATAGAGATAAATGAGGGACAGGAGCGGGAAGGGCAGACACTGTACAGAGGTGGGGATGGGAAACCAGAGGAGAGCTGCACTTATGAAAATGGGAGACTTTTACTATTATGCATGTTAGATCTTATTTTTACTTTTGATTCTAACTTGACTGTATAGTTCAGAGTTGGACATGTATTAAACTTCAGCCGATATTAAAGTAAGTAAAGTAAAGTAAAGAAAAGTAAAGTATGTTTTGGCAATCTTAAACCCAAATTAAAGGTTGCATCAGATAGGGCATTCATCATAATATATATGTCAGTTTGATGCAAATCAGAAAGTACAAGGCAACCAATAATCTGAAATGGAATTCACCTTTCATCCAAAAAGCTTTGCCAGTTCTGTAGAAAGATGGCCAGTGTTACCTCAGAAACATGTGAACATCTGTAGGAGGTATTTTAAAAATTCTTATTTTCTGTATCATTTTAATATTTTAATTCTAAAAGATAATTGCTGTTTATTCATACAAAACGTGTTTATGTAA